CGACTTGGTTGTTCGCTATCGTTCAGACTGCAGCCAATCAGGTTCAGTGTCAACGTGAGTCATGCTGAGAACCAGGTAGGTGGGATTGCAATTTGGACTGTTCCGGGTGAGACAATAGAGGAGGAAAGGTGTACAGTAGTCAGATACATGCATGATACACCCTAGTGAGGAGTTCAAGATAAGTGTTCGTGTAGAGTGTTCACAAATACAGTTGATGTCCACCCTTATCGCTGCTCAGCCTGTCGCCCAATCAGAACCACGTCCCTAAACCCCCGATATACGGGAAATGTGATATCCGTTAGTGTCCCGTCATATACGCACAGTGCCCCGTCATCATGACGTCGGTGACCATCATGTGGCATAGGACAACCCGACCACAGTGGCATTTTTTGCGCCGCATGACTGTGCACCGTTGTCGCAGTTACGGCGCTTATCTTTCATAAACGCCTCATTTGAAATCTGAGAGTGAAACTCACGACACGATGTACGCCCCCCTGGGGTTGAAAATGCGCCGCATGATTATTGTGGATTGACGTGGCTGATGACAGTACATTGACCCAAGTTCGAAGGGCCCCTATCTCTCGTCACGGTAATCCGGGTCACTTAGCTAACCAGGCACTACAAATATTACGCACGTTTATCGCGCTCCCCGTGGGCATTGTCGCTGAACCCGTTCCGTATTCGTAGATTGAACACGCACCAAAGGTACATGTCCAATTCCAACACCAACCCCTCAAAATACGCGGCTCGCCCTGCAAACTGTGACGCGAGAGGTATGAAAGTGAGAATTACAGAGAATGAGAATCACTCGCCACCTCCATCTATCACTACTCACCGCCACACCACTATGCCGCGCGTTCACAGTCGAGCGCAGGTACCGCTAGAGGTGAAGCGCACAATATGCGCGCATCACACCATGTATCCCCACCTCCGCCAAGAGGACTTGGCGAGATGGTGCTACATCCTTTTTGGTATCCTCCCTGACCGCTCCACGGTGGGGAAGATTCTGAAGGACGTCGCCCGTTGGGACGCCAACACGCGATTGGCGCCTCACGCCGCATCCGTCAGGGTCGTCACTCGGACCTTGAGGCGCTTCTGTGTCGCTAGATCGAGAGCGTCGCGCCCGCCAGAGTCTCTCTCACCCTGCAAACCATTCAAGCCAATGCCATGATCATGGCGAGGGCGCTCAACAAACCCGACACGTTCAAGGTGTCGCTCGGGTGGGTCCGTCGTGCTCTCCGTCGACTGAACATCCGCTGCATGAAGCAGCACGGAGAGGCGGGAGATGCTGACTTGGGTGCAGTCATGACGTGCAAGTCCCAGCCCCGGCAATTCTCCGTCATTACCGAATGACCCCCGCGATGTCTTGAACTTCGACGAAACGTGCCTGTTCATCTCGGTAGTGCCGAAAAAGAGTTGGAGTCGACGCTACTGGCCTGGGCGCAAGCAAGCTAAGGAGCGTCTTACCGTCGGAGTGTTGTGTAATGCGGATGGCAGCACGGTTTGGCGCCCCCTCATCGTGAGCAAGACGCGTCGCCCAGTCGACTTCCGCCCCAACTACGACCCGTCTTCTTATTGCTACTGGCGTAGCAATGAGCGCGGATGGATGACGAGCGCGGTACGTAATACGCACATCCTATGCTCGGCGATGTCCGCATTCATGATACGCGCCATTACACCCTACCCCAAAATGCCGTTCGCCATTCCCTCAATCTTCCCGTTACACTTTCCCCACCCTTCTCCTTATTTTTCCGTTTATGTCGTCCCGTCCGCCGCATCTAGCTTTTCACGCACTTCATGGAGCAGCTGAACGCTGCGATGTTTGCGGAGGGACGTCGCGTAATAGTAATGGTCGACAACGCCTCCTCCCAAGCGCTCCAATCGCCCGACGCCGTGACGAGGATCTTTTCGGATTTCGCACTCGAAGCCTCAGCCACCCCCGCATCGTCTATCTTCCACCCAATACGACGGCCTTCACCCAGCCACTCGATCAAGGCATCATTGCCATGGTCAAGTCTCGCTATCGAAGCATGTGGCTGACGGAATTGGTCCGAGTGTGGGAGGAGTCCGATGCAGCCCGCCGCATGTCCCGATGGCGCCCCAACATGAGGCAGGTTGTCGAATGGCTCTACGACGCATGCCTCAGTGTGGGCGCCCGCACCATCCAACGCTGCTGGTGGCGCAAGGGCTGCCTCCCCGTGGAGTGGGCGGCGGAGATGGAGCATGTGCCGCTGCCAGTGCTCTCGTGCGACGCTCTCGCCGCCGACGAAGTCGATGAGGAGGAGGAGGTCGAGGATCCCGAGAACACGGTCGCTGCCGAGATCGCGGAAGTGGGGTTGCAGATCGAGTCCCTCGCCCTCGGCCCATGCGCGATGGCGGCGGAGCAGTTCGTCGCCATCGACGACTCCCTCCCCACATGCGCGGCGCCGGGGGAGGACCCTCTTTCCCGCGAGCCCCGCGTGCCCGCACCCCCAAGCGCTTGGGATTCGCCTCCCCGTGAGGAATGGGGTGCTTCGGCGACGCAGGGGATCGTGCGGCGCGTCGGGCTGCGCGGGCGGCCACGGAGATGTTGGTCGGCTATGCCCGCGCGACCAACATCTCCCCTCGCGACCTCCGAGTTCTCTTTGACATAAGGAACCCGGTGGTCGTCGAGCGGCTGGAGCGCGCCAGCCCCCTTCCGGACCTGAACGCGCCTCCTCCTCGGGTGGGGCGCGTCCTGCCCGCCTCCATCGTGGACTCGGAACGCCGCGCTGAGCTCATCCGCCACGGCGTGGACGCCGTGATGGATGGCTTCCCGCCATCCGCGGAGTGGATGCGCCACATTTGAGATGTGGCGCATGAGTGCTGTCTTCTGGAATGGCTGCAATGGTTCTTCAGTGGCGAGAGATGGGAGAGAACGTAAGTTCCCTCCTAACGTTTTTAGTCCTCGCGCTGGTGTTTCATCTGTGATGTATGTGTCGAAGTCCTTCTACGTTCCCTCTATCTCTTGCTGTGAAATGTGGATTGAGATTTGGATGGAGTTGGAGAGAATTGGTGTTGGTGCAACGTAGTGTTTCTTGTGCCTGGTCCCTGTTCGGTGTGCGCCTGTCGCTAAGTTTCATGTACTGAGACGATTAGAGTGTCGAAGTTTGCGATGAACTCATGTAATCGCGACAATGAACAGCGTCACTGTTCAGGATCTAATACCCCAGACGTCGCCACCCAAGCCCACACCACTACCGCCAAATCAGTTACCATATTGCTCGTGCGAGAACCACCTTTGCCCGTGGCGAGGGCGAGCGAAATGGGTGCGCGATTAAATCCCCATCACCCTGAAATCTTGTGTAACTCTGTCACGTCTCGACTGTACACCCTATGAAACAATCGAGGTTGACGAGAAACCCAATGAGCTCACAGAAAAGCGCGTGTTTGCTGCACTTCCTTTGCACCAATGTCGGAGAGTCGATTGAGTCACACAATCACGACAGTCACCACGTTACCGTGGGGGCATAGTGTCTACTGTACAGTGTTGGCACAAGACGGAACAAACGAAGACGTCCACCACTGCCGACAAATCCACCCTGCCGCCACATTCCTTCAGTCATGATGACGTGCCAGCCAGCCCCCACGGATGTTCGTATGGTTTCCTGTCCATCGTACGTCTTGTAATCCTAATCGATTTAGCTTGCTCATTTGCCCCATTTTTACTGGCAGTAGCCGTTTTGTTATAATCTCGACATTCGCCACGTGGAGCCAGTTTAATGAGCGCGGAACAAACGGACCATGCTTATTGACCAGAATTCCGAGTCCTGGAATATTTTGTTACAAATTACCCGTCTGTGACCCATTTGCCTGTGGCGAAACAGGCGAAATGACGAGTTCCACATTGGCCCCCGCAACTTGGCAAAGTGGTGAGCGTACGGTGCAAATCATCATTACTGTAGCCGTTGCGGCGGAAGCTCTAGAGAATGCCCAGCAGTAGGCAGTTACCCAGCCTTGAGGTCGCCGGAAACGTTTCACCCAGGTCCTGTACGTCTCAGAACGTTACAGAACGGTAGGTCGGGCGATGTACCTTTTCCTTCCCACCCCAACTGCCCGCCGCTCAGCTTTCTTCCCCAAACAGACCTCCCCTACGCAGCCCACGTTGGAGTGCCATTTGTGAGGGCGGGTTGCTTTGAGAACGGGACGGGGAATCGGAGCGGGACTGATCAGGGCGACTCGCTAACGGTACAATGGGAAATAACAAGGTTTATGATATTGTTTTCGTGGTTCAGTGCGGTAAATGGCTAGTTTGTGCTGGCACGGTTTGGGGCGGTACGGGTTGAGGTGCTGCTCTCGCAACCCCTTCGCGCGTCGTGTGAGAAGAACGATGCCGCCTGACGTTCCAACGGGGTACAGTGCGTTTTCGCACAATTGAGAATGTTTTTGTGCGTTCGAAAGCGTTTACTCGACGTCAAACCGTGACATTGTGTAGCCGACACCCCCTCAGTAAGAGACAAGACAAACAGCTTCCATTCCAGCTTTTTCAAGCTCAGTGCTGCTGTTGTCTCCTCAGCCCTGGACCCGCTGCTGCTGTTCCGCTTCTCTAGGTGACGCTTGGGTCGGTTCTATGCTGTACAGTTCTGTGCGACGGTTGTCAGCAAGCCTCTTGAAATTTGTGGGGTGGAGAGAAGAGACATCTCCAGTGCGAGCTTACCAAAGAAGCTTGAGAAACACATGTCAGCAACTGCTGCTAACATTCTCTTTCCCGGTGAGGGCGTGGTGAGGGCGTGGTACATGGGTTGCGCCTTGCCTCGATACCGCAACCCTGTTAGCGCAACCGACAAAAAACCTAACCCAACCGAACGAATACCAGCTCAACCCATAATTCACGCACCATACGAATTTCAGCGAGCCTGGTAACAAGGCGGGTTGCACAACTGCGATGGGTTGCGCCCAAACATGCACCACGCCCTGAGCTTGACACATGCGACACCTCTTTCCACCCGCTCCGTTTTCAACCACCACAGCTCAGCTCCGTCCCGTCGCATCGCCTTCGTTGTGGAGTGTTACAGAACTGTATTACGAATCAAGTCTGTCGTAGTTGCGACGCGCTAAGCGGGCCCTATAGACACCTGATCCGCCGTTCAGCACGTTTCCTCGGTCATTCAGTTTCGCTTCTCTGGATCCTGTGACGAAGCCAGAAAGCCAGCCGCGACTGACGCCGTCTCTCCCGCGATTTCCTAAACCAAATTCCAGCAACTCGTGCACCATAGCTCGCGCCGCCTGTCAAATGCCATCCGCCTCTCAAATGCCACGTGTCTTCCCGACGCCACCCGCCTCTCAAATGCCACGTGTCTTCCAGACGCCACCCGCCTCTCAAATGCCACGTGTCTTCCAGACGCCACCCGCCTCTTGCGTCGCATCCGCCCCGTGTTAGGACCCTAGGTACTACTCTCGACGAACCGGCCCGTGTTTTCTAGTTTCGCGGCGCCTCGAAGCTGTACGTCCCGTATCAGGACCTTACTAGGTACCCCTCACTACGGACCCCGTGTTTTCTTGTCTTCAACCGTTTGGTGTGCGCATCGAGCTCGTAGAAGCATCCACTCCTGCAGCCGCGGGTGCGTTCGACTAGCTAGCTTTCGATTCGACTCTCAGCCGCGCTACATGCGGGGAGCGACGACGGACCCCGAGCATCCTTGAACCCGTTTGGTGTGCGAATCCGACTCTTAGAAGCATCTACCACAGTAGCTAGGTTTCAAATCGGCTCTCAGCCGCGGTACATGCGGGGAGCGAGGACGAGCTTTTGAGTCGACTCAATAGCGAACTCCGAGCTTCGTTGAACCCGTTTGGTGTACGAATCCGACTCTTAATACCATTATCCCAGTAGCTAGGTTTCGACCCTAAGCCGCAGGATCATGCGGGGAGCGACGATGGCAGCGCGGACAATGCCAAGCGGAAAGAGAATGCCGAGAGCGAGCGCAAACGGACAGTTTGACGGATGGCCAGACGGACGGCTACACCGACGGCCAACCGGACGGCTAACCGGATGGCTAAACGGATGGCGACAGTTAACAATGGCGGCCGTGCTGGTGATGGCTGCATGCGGAATGATGGCGCTGCAGGCTGGGTCTGTTATCATCCCCGTGCACTCGACGCAGAGTGAGTTTTGGTCGTATCGCCTTCAAGCTGTTACGGATGGCGCTTCGCGTAGGGAAGGGAGTGAATGGTGCTCGCGTTTAGAGTCCCGGGCTCGAATCCGCGGTGTCGTCTCTCCAGGCTCATGTCGCTGGACTCGGTCGTCCGTCGTTCAATGGGCGGCGACGACTCTCGTTAAAGAGCCTGCGATTCGTGTATCGTCGCTAGGTCAATCATGTCTGTCGCAGCCTCCAGACCGACGTTCGTCGCAGCCGTCGCAGCCATCGCATCCGTCGCAGTTGTCCCACTTCTCGTCCCGCCCCCCTTTCCCCTCCCTCGTCCATCCCCGTTCCCCATTTTCGCATCCCTCTTCCTTCCCTGTTCCACCCCCCCCCCCCCCCCCCCCCCTTCCCCCTCCTCCCTCCCCGTCCCCCCGTTCCCCGTTCCCATCTCCCCCCTCCCCGTTACCCCCCTCGCCGTTCTCCATCTCCGCCTCCTCTCTCCCTCCCCGTTACCCCCCTCCCCGTTCCGCATCGCCCCCAAGCGGACGCGATGCAGGCAAATAGCCACCAGGAGGCCCTCCGCAACGGTCTCGTGCCCTCTCTCATTTCCCCTCCCCCTCCCTCCCCTAACACCCGCACCCCCCACCCCCCCTCCGCCCCCTCTTTCCCCTCCCGCTCCTCTTTCCCGTCCCCACGTTCCCCGTCTTCCCCAGCGACCGCAATGCAATCGATAGCTACCACGTGGCCCTCCGCAACGGTCTCGTGGGTGGCGGGGGAGAACTGTAGCACGTGGGGTGGGGTGGTGTGCGACGACGACGGCTACGTCACGCAGCTGTGAGTCTTAATGGCGTCTGTGAGTTGGGATAACGTCTGGTGAGGGGGATGCGTTTCAAATCTACGCGTCCACATCTACCGCTTCCTACTATGGCTCCTTTTTCCTTTGCCGCCTTTCAATGGGACGCAGTCGCTTTTGTTGGCTGGCCGCTACGCCCTGAAATCCCACATTCTCTCTGCCTCACACTATCCTTCTCTTTCTTCTCCTCCCCCTCCCTCCCGCAGCGACCTGAGCGGGCTCGATCTGGAGGGGACGATTCCGTCCGATGCTTTCCTGCCCTCCCCTCCCTCCCTTCCCCCCAGCGACCTGGCGGGCTCGATCTGGAGGGGACGATTCCGTCCGATGCTTTCCTGCCCTCCCTCCCTCCCTTCCCCCCGCAGCGACTGAGCGGGCTCGATTGGAGGGGACGATTCCGTCCGATGCCATCTCCACGCTCGTCACGCTGCAAGAGCTGTGAGCCTTCACGTGTTTGGGGTGTGTGTGCGGTGTGGTGGAGTGCGGTGCGGTGTGATGTTTGTGCTTTGTGATGTGTTGCGATGCGGTGCGGTGCTGTGGCATCTGCAGACATGGGTGGCTGGGTCTGCTGCTTTTGAGCCCCCTCCATTGGTCGTTCTCTGCTTCTTAGTTGCCGTCCTTGTCAGAAAACTTTTCCCTCTCACCTTATCTGTTCGTAGATCCCTTCAACTTCCCTTCCCCACCTTATCTGTTTGTAGATCCCTTCAGCTTCCCCTCCCCAACATCCACTCTCCCTGCCCGCCTTCCCATCCCACCAGCAACTGCCAACGATTCTATCCGGATGTTTTACCAAAATGTGGCCTTTTCCATCCCCTCCTCCTTCCCCTCCTCCCCCCCTCCCCCCTCCCCTCCTGCCCCCCTCCCATCTTCCCCCCCCTCCCCTCCTCCCCCCCTCCCCTCTTTCCCCCCCTCCCCTCCCACTCCTCCCCCCTCCCCCCTGCCTTTTATCCTGCACCTTCTCCTCTCCCTGCCCGCCTTCCCACCAGCAAGCTTCACGACAATTCTATCGAGGATGATTTAGCAGAATGTGACCTTTTCAATCCCCTCCCCCCCCCCCCCCTCTTTCCCTCCCTCCCCTCCCTCTCCTCCCCCTTGCCTTTTATCCTGCACCCTCTCCTTTACCTGCCTGCTTCCCACCAGCAAGTTGCACGACAATTCCATCGAGGATGATTTGCCAGTCAAGTTCAGTGCGCTTACCGCGCTCTCCTTCCTGTGAGTGTACTGCCGTCGCTCTATTGACAGGTCTCCGCTAATACTGTAAGTTATACTGTAAGTCGTACAGTAAGTTATTTTGTAAGTATTTTGTAAGTTATACCGTAAGTTATACTGTACGTGTATGCTCCTCCTGGCGAATCCATCAAGGATGATTTACCAGTCAATTTCAGTGCACCGAATATCCTCTTACCGAGCTGGCTTTCCTGTGAGTTGGCATCCGTCCTCCTATTGATAAGCTCGTCTTCGCAACTCCGTCCGAGGATAGCTGTCCTTCCTGTGCGGCTTACGAGGGTGATGCGCTTTTTCAGATGTTAATGGAGATAACTTGCTGTTAAATGGTTGCCCCCTGCCTGCACAGGTCTCAGTTCGGTTTTGAGAATTCCAATTACTTGCTGTCAAATGGTTGCCCCGTGCACAGATCTCTGGGCCGCAACGACATCGCTGGTTCATCCCCCGGGCTACTCCGCGCTCTCGAAGCTCAACTACCTGTGAGCTCTTGTATATACTTGTTTAATTATTTTCTTATTTCTTTCTTTGTTCTCTATATGTGCCGTTTTTCTACCTCGGCGTTTGCACACCCCATGCCTTCATCCCCCAATTCCTCGTATCCATGGTCGCCTGAGCGAGGAACGATTACCCGGTCAGGTAGTTACCCGGCTTTGCCCAGGTCCATACCTTCATTCCCCCAATTCCTCATATCCATGGTCGCCTGAGTGACAAGGTCCCAGGCCCAAGGGAACAAGACCCAAGACACTCGGGCACTGCATAGCGGACCAAGTTCCCTCGGGCCTCAGCACACTGCTGTTCACCCCTCCTCCTCCCCATCTCCCCCTCTCCCGCCCTCCTCCACCCCCCTCCCCCCGCCCCCCTCTCCCCTCCCCCACCAATCTCCTCACCGACAACCGCATAGCAGACTGAGCGGCCCATGAAACTGAGCACTCCCTGACTGCTTTCCTCCTCTTCCCACTCCCACTTCTGGTCCTGGCCGCTTTCCCTTCCCCTTCCCCTTAATCTTCTGCAGTCTCCTGAGCGACAACCGCATCACGGACCAAGTGCCCTCGGACCTCAGCACTCTCACCGACCTCGAGGCTCTGTGCGTGTGACTATGGCGAGCTGCTAGGCTCTGTGCGTGTGACTATGGCGAGCTGCTAGGCTCTGTGCGTGTGACTATGGCGAGCTGCTAGGCTCTGTGCGTGTGACTATGGCGAGCTGCTAGGCTCTGTGCGTGTGACTGGCGAGCTGCTAGGCTCTGTGCGTGTGACTATGGCGAGCTGCTAGGCTCCGTGCATGTGACTATGGCGAGCTGCTAGGCTCCGTGCGTGTGACCATGGCGAGCTGCTAGGCTCTGTGCGTGTGACTATGGCGAGCTGCGAGGCTCTGTGCATGTGACTATAACAAGCTGTGAGGCTCTGTCCGTGGGACATGTGTGACAATAACGAGCTGCTCATAATACGAGTCCAACTCAATCTTCACGGCAGCACAATAGGCTCGACAATAGGCCGAGGTCATCGCTCTCCCTCCCTCCCAACTCCTTTCCCTCTGCCGTCGCGTCCCTCCCACCCCCACCCACCCCTCACGTGCTTCCTTTTGCAGCGATCTGAGCGGAATCAGTTTGGCTGGCAGCATACGAGCACAGGTCATTCTCCCTTTCCCCATTACCTTCACTCACCCCACCTCGCCTGTCCTGCCTTGTGCAGCGACCTTAGCAAGAACGAACTGTCTGGCAGCATACCAGCCCAGTCATCCCTTCCCCCTTTTTCCCCCCTTTCCCCCTTTCCCCTTTTCCCCCTTTCCCCCTTCCCCCCTTCCACCCTCTCCTTCCACCCCTCTCGTCCTTCCCTCCCTCCCCTTTTCCCAGCGACCTGAGCAAGAACCGTCTGTCTGGCAGCATTCCAGCCGAAGTCGTCGCTCTCCCCAACCTCATCTACTTGTGAGCCCTTCGCACGTGACAAAAGAGAACTGTTGGGCGTGAGCAGAGATGCACGTGACAATAGAGAACTGTTGGGCGTGAGCAGAGAGGCACGTGACAATAGGAGTTGCGCTTGGTCCTCGCCCTCCGCAACCTCATCTACTTGTGAGCCCTTCGCATGGATGGCATGTGATGATAGGGGGGTGTTGGGGTGAGCACTTAGCATGTGACAATAGAGAGGTGTCGAGGCGAGGTGAGCACTTGGCATGTGACATTTCCCATCACGATTTCTCACGCCCCCCACCAACCAGGTTCACCAGCAAAGTCTCTTTCGGACCGCCCTTCCAGCAACCCCCCCTTCCAGCAACCCCCCTTCCAGCAACCACCCTTCCTTCAACCCTCCTTGCAGCAACCTCCCTTCCTTCAACCCTCCTTGCAGCAACATCCCTTCCTTCAACCCCCTTCAGCAACCACCCTTCCAGCAACCTCCCAAGCTACTTACGACTTCCTTTCCGTTAACTCCCGTCTCTTCCTTCCTCCGTGTAACTCCCTGCCATCCCTTCTCTTCCCTTCCCTTCTCTTCCCTTCCCACTTCTCTCCCCTTCCCTTCCCACTTCTCGCCCCTTCCCTTCCCTCTTCTCTCCCTTCCCTTCCTGTCTCCTTCCAGCGACATTTCAAACAATGAGCTCTCAGGCCCCGCGCCGACGGGTTTTGCAAGCACCTCCTTCCAAGCAACTGCCGAGGCCACCTACAACATCGAGAGAAACTATTTCAACGGGTCGGCCAATGCTAACATCACAGCGGGCAACGGAACGATTTCTTTCTGCCCGAACAAACTCCAGGGAGGGTTCGCACAAGCCGCCCTTCTGCCCTACAGCCATCTCTCTATGGGTCCGTGCGAGGAAACTGCATGGTAACTTCCACCAAGGGGGCATGCACGTCAGACAAGCAGCGGAAGACGAATGATTGTTTGGCGTTTTGTGGTGCGGGCATGGCAGGAGGGCCGTGCGGAGGGCACGGGCGGTGTTATTTGTCTGGACCTTCACGCATCCCGACATGCGAATGCGAGAAGGATTATTTCGTGTATTTTGCAATTCAGAGTGGGATCCGATACCCCTCGTGCAGCAACTCAACCATGGCTAACCGCCACCGTCACCCCCTCCGCCCCACCAGAAGGTATACTCGAAAAAGTGCACACCTAACTGTATATAGTCGTGCTCACCTTTGCTGGTGCCTGCTGGCTCGTGGTGGCTCGTTTTGATGCAAGTTGCAACTGCCACTCTGCATATATTAGGACAGACACCCACACTCTCTCACACACCGTACACACACCCTCACACCCTCACTCACACACACACACACACACACCCTGTCAAACACCCTCACACCCTCGCACACCCTCACTCACTCACATGCATACTCCTACACACCTGCATCCAACAGATCACCATTTCATTCCCTTCCTTCGTCTCCCTCCTTTCCCCATCCCCTTTATAAGCAGACCCCGACCGTCGCAAGCCAGGTCTCAAGGACACGGATTACCAGGCTGTACCAACCAAGGTGAGCAGAGGGTTATTCCTTCCCGCAGAATACCAACCAAGGCGAGCACAGGGTTATTCATTCCGCTCCCAGAGAGAGAGAGAGTTAGTCCGCTCCCAGATCACTAACCTAGGTGAGCAGAGGGTTATTCCGCTCTGTCCGCTGCTCCTTGCTGCTGCTGCTGCTGTTTCGGGCGTATCATGCTGTGCCACTGAATGCTTGTTGAGCTGACTAAAATCTCCCCTCCGCTTACGTTCTGCTATCCCTTCCCTCCCCAGCCGCTCACCAACTTCAACAAGTACTTCCGCCACGTCAGCATGGGATACACCGGCACAGCCACCAAGCCCTCGTGGACGTACAAGACGGCGGTGGACTGGCGCATGCAGGTGGTCAACAAGCAGAACAGGACTGTTGTGGGACCCACCGTCGACCAGGGCACGTGCGGTGAGTCATTGAGTCAACTTTTGAGTCGACTCAAAAGGCACGTGCGGTGAGTCATTGAGTAAACTTTTGAGTCGACTCAAAAGGCACGTGCGGTGAGTCATTGAGTCAACTACGTAAAGCAGGAAGCACCCGGCGCCCGCTCATGGGCATACAAGGCACGGCTGGTGGCTGGCAGCTATCGAGTTGGCCCATGCGATAGCCTACGGGCCGAACCAGCCCAAAATCTCTGGTCGAACCAGCCCAAAATCTCTGGTGGAACCAGCCCAAAATCTCCGGTCGAAGCAGCCCAAAATCTCCGGTCGAAGCAGCCCAAAATCTCCGGTCGAAGCAGCCCAAAATCTCCGGTCGAAGCAGCCCAAAATCTCCGGTCGAAGCAGCCCAAAATCTCCGGTCGAAGCAGCCCTAAATCTCCGGTCGAAGCAGCCCTAAATCTCAGGTCGAAGCAGCCCGAAATCTCCGGTCGAAGCAGCCCAAAATCTCCGGTCGAAGCAGCCCAAAATCTCTGGTCGAAGCAGCCCGAAATCTCCGGTCGAAGCAGCCCGAAATCTCCGGTCGAAGCAGCCCAAAATCTCCGGTCGAAGCAGCCCAAAATCTCCGGTCGAAGCAGCCCAAAATCTCCGGTCGAAGCAGCCCAAAATCTCCGGTCGAAGCAGCCCTAAATCTCCGGTCGAAGCAGCCCAAAATCTCCGGTCGAAGCAGCCCAAAATCTCCGGTCGAAGCAGCCCAAAATCTCCGGTCGAAGCAGCCCAAAATCTCTGGTCGAAGCAGCCCGAAATCTCCGGTCGAAGCAGCCCAAAATCTCTGGTGGAACCAGCCCAAAATCTCTGGTCGAAGCAGCCCGAAATCTCCGGTCGAAGCAGCCCAAAATCTCTGGTGGAACCAGCCCAAAATCTCTGGTCGAAGCAGCCCAAAATCTCTGGTGGAACCAGCCCAAAATCTCCGGTCGAAGCAGCCCAAAATCTCCGGTCGAAGCAGCCCAAAATCTCCGGTCGAAGCAACCCAAAATCTCCGGTCGAAGCAGCCCAAAATCTCCGGTCGAAGCAGCCCAAAATCTCCGGTCGAAGCAGCCCAAAATCTCCGGTCGAAGCAGCCCAAAATCTCCGGTCAAAGCAGCCCAAAATCTCCGGTCGAAGCAGCCCAAAATCTCCGGTCGAAGCAGCCCGAAATCTCCGGTCGAAGCAGCCCTAAATCTCCGGTCGAAGCAGCCCAAAATCTCTGGTCGAAGCAGCCCAAAATCTCTGGTGGAACCAGCCCAAAATCTCTGGTCGAAGCAGCCCGAAATCTCCGGTCGAAGCAGCCCAAAATCTCTGGTGGAACCAGCCCAAAATCTCCGGTCGAAGCAGCCCAAAATCTCCGGTCGAAGCAGCCCAAAATCTCTGGTGGAACCAGCCCAAAATCTCTGGTCGAAGCAGCCCGAAATCTCCGGTCGAAGCAGCCCAAAATCTCTGGTGGAACCAGCCCAAAATCTCCGGTCGAAGCAGCCCAAAATCTCCGGTCGAAGCAGCCCAAAATCTCCGGTCGAAGCAGCCCAAAATCTCCGGTCGAAGCAGCCCAAAATCTCCGGTCGAAGCAGCCCAAAATCTCCGGTCGAAGCAGCCCAAAATCTCCGGTCGAAGCAGCCCTAAATCTCCGGTCGAAGCAGCCCTAAATCTCCGGTCGAAGCAGCCCAAAATCTCCGGTCGAAGCAGCCCAAAATCTCCGGTCGAAGCAGCCCAAAATCTCCGGTCGAAGCAGCCCAAAATCTCCGGTCGAAGCAGCCCAAAATCTCCGGTCGAAGCAGCCCAAAATCTCCGGTCGAAGCAGCCCAAAATCTCCGGTCGAAGCAGCCCAAAATCTCCGGTCGAAGCAGCCCAAAATCTCCGGTCGAAGCAGCCCAAAATCTCTGGTGGAACCAGCCCAAAATCTCTGGTCGAAGCAGCCCAAAATCTCCGGTCGAAGCAGCCCAAAATCTCTGGTGGAACCAGCCCAAAATCTCTGGTCGAAGCAGCCCAAAATCTCTGGTGGAACCAGCCCAAAATCTCCGGTCGAAGCAGCCCAAAATCTCCGGTCGAAGCAGCCCAAAATCTCCGGTCGAAGCAGCCCTAAATCTCCGGTCGAAGCAGCCCAAAATCTCCGGTCGAAGCAGCCCAAAATCTCCGGTCGAAGCAGCCCAAAATCTCCGGTCGAAGCAGCCCAAAATCTCCGGTCGAAGCAGCCCAAAATCTCCGGTCGAAGCAGCCCAAAATCTCCGGTCGAAGCAGCCCAAAATCTCCGGTCGAAGCAGCCCAAAATCTCCGGTCGAAGCAGCCCAAAATCTCCGGTCGAAGCAGCCCAAAATCTCCGGTCGAAGCAGCCCAAAATCTCCGGTCGAAGCAGCCCAAAATCTCCGGTCGAAGCAGCCCAAGCAGCCCAAAATCTCCGGTCGAAGCAGCCCAAAATCTCCGGTCGAAGCAGCCCAAAATCTCCGAAGCAGCCCCAAAATCTCCGGTCGAAGCAGCCCAAAATCTCCGGTCGAAGCAGCCCAAAATCTCCGGTCGAAGCAGCCCAAAATCTCCGGTCGAAGCAGCCCAAAATCTCCGGTCGAAGCAGCCCAAAATAAGCAGCCCAAAATCTCCGGTCGAAGCAGCCCAAAATCTCCGGTCGAAGCAGCCCAAAATCTCCGGTCGAAGCAGCCCAAAATCTCCGGTCGAAGCAGCCCAAAATCTCCGGTCGAAGCAGCCCAAAATCTCCGGTCGAAGCAGCCCAAAATCTCCGGTCGAAGCAGCCCAAAATCTCCGGTCGAAGCAGCCCAAAATCTCCGGTCGAAGCAAAAATCTCTGGTCGAAAAAAATCTCCGGTCGAAGCAGCCCAAAATCTCCGGTCGAAGCAGCCCAAAATCTCCGGTCGAAGCAGCCCAAAATCTCCGGTCGAAGCAGCCCAAAATCTCCGGTCGAAGCAGCCCAAAATCTCCGGTCGAAGCAGCCCAAAATCTCCGGTCGAAGCAGCCCAAAATCTCTGGTCGAAGCAGCCCAAAATCTCCGGTCGAAGCAGCCCAAATCTCCGGTCGAAGCAGCCCAAAATCTCCGGTCGAAGCAGCCCAAAATCTCTCGAAGCAGCCCAAAATCTCCGGTCGAAGCAGCCCAAAATCTCCGGTCGAAGCAGCCCAAAATCTGGTCGAAGCAGCCCAAAATCTCGAAGCAGCCCAAACTCCGGTCGAAGCAGCCCAAAATCTCCGGTCGAAGCAGCCCAAAATCTCCGGTCGAAGCAGCCCAAAATCTCCGGTCGAAGCAGCCCAAATCTCAAAGCCCAAATCTCCGGTCGAAGCAAAATCTCCGGTCGAAGCAGCCCAAAATCTCCGGTCGAAGCAGCCCAAATCTCCGGTCGAAGCAGCCCAAAATCTCCGGTCGAAGCAGCCCAAATCTCCGGTCGAAGCAGCCCAAAATCTCCGGTCGAAGCAGCCCAAAATCTCCGGTCGAAGCAGCCCAAAATCTCCGGTCGAAGCAGCCCAAAATCTCCGGTCGAAGCAGCCCAAAATCTCCGGTCGAAGCAGCCCAAAATCTCCGGTCGAAGCAGCCCAAAATCTCCGGTCGAAGCAGCCCAAAATCTCCGGTCGAAGCAGCCCAAATCTCCGGTCGAAGCAGCCCAAAATCTCCGGTCGAAGCAGCCCAAAATCTCCGGTCGAAGCAGCCCAAAATCTCCGGTCGAAGCAGCCCAAAATCTCCGGTCGAAGCAGCCCAAAATCTCCGGTCGAAGCAGCCCAAAATCTCTCCGGTCGAAGCAGCCCAAAATCTCCGGTCGAAGCAGCCCAAAATCTCCGGTCGAAGCAGCCCAAAATCTCCGGTCGAAGCAGCCCAAATCTCCGGTCGAAGCAGCCCAAAATCAGCCCAAAACTCGGTCGAAGCAGCCCAAAATCTCCGGTCGAAGCAGCCCAAAATCTCCGGTCGAAGCAGCCCAAAATCTCCGGTCGAAGCAGCCCAAAATCTCCGGTCGAAGCAGCCCAAAATCTCCGGTCGAAGCAGCCCAAAATCTCCGGTCGAAGCAGCCCAAAATCTCCGGTCGAAGCAGCCCAAAATCTCCGGTCGAAGCCCAAAATCTCCGGTCGAAGCAGCCCAAAATCTCCGGTCGAAGCAGCCCAAAATCTCCGGTCGAAGCAGCCCAAAATCTCCGGTCGAAGCAGCCCAAAATCTCCGGTCGAAGCAGCCCAAAATCTCCGGTCGAAGCAGCCCAAAATCTCCGGTCGAAGCAGCCCAAAATCTCCGGTCGAAGCAGCCCAAAATCTCCGGTCGAAGCAGCCCAAAATCTCCGGTCGAAGCAGCCCAAAATCTCCGGTCGAAGCAGCCCAAAATCTCCGGTCGAAGCAGCCCAAAATCTCCGGTCGAAGCAGGTCGAAGCAGCCCAAAATCTCCGGTCGAAGCAGCCCAAAATCTCCGGTCGAAGCAGCCCAAAATCTCCGGAAGCAGCCCAAAATCTCTGGTCGAAGCAGCCCAAAATCTCCGGTCGAAGCAGCCCAAAATCTCCGGTCGAAGCAGCCCAAAATCTCCGGTCGAAGCAGCCCAAAATCTCCGGTCGAAGCAGCCCAAAATCTCCGGTCGAAGCAGCCCAAAATCTCCGTCGAAGCAGCCCAAAATCTCCGGTCGAAGCAGCCCAAAATCTCCGGTCGAAGCAGCCCAAAATCTCCGGTCGAAGCAGCCCAAAATCTCCGGTCGAAGCAGCCCAAAATCTCCGGTCGAAGCAGCCCAAAACTCCGGTCGAAGCAGCCCAAAATCTCCGGTCGAAGCAGCCCAAAATCTCCGGTCGAAGCAGCCCAAAATCTCCGGTCGAAGCAGCCCAAAATCTCCGGTCGAAGCAGCCCAAAATCTCCGGTCGAAGCAGCCCAAAATCTCCGGTCGAAGCAGCCCAAAATCTCCGGTCGAAGCAGCCCAAAATCTCCGGTCGAAGCAGCCCAAAATCTCCGGTCGAAGCAGCCCAAAATCTCCGGTCGAAGCAGCCCAAAATCTCCGGTCGAAGCAGCCCAAAATCTCCGGTCCGAAGCGAAGCAGCCCAAAATCTCCGGTCGAAGCAGCCCAAAATCTCCGGTCGAAGCAGCCCAAAATCTCCGGTCGAAGCAGCCCAAAATCTCCGGTCGAAGCAGCCCAAAGGTCGAAGCAGCCCAAAATCTCCGGTCGAGCAGCCCAAAATCTCCGGTCGAAGCAGCCCAAAATCTCCGGTCGAAGCAGCCCAAAATCTCCGGTCGAAGCAGCCCAAAATCTCCGGTCGAAGCAGCCCAAAATCTCCGGTCGAAGCAGCCCAAAATCTCCGGTCGAAGCAGCCCAAAATCTCCGGTCGAAGCAGCCAAAATCTCCGGTCGAAGCAGCCCAAAATCTCCGGTCGAAGCAGCCCAAAATCTCCGGTCGAAGCAGCCCAAAATCTCCGTCGAAGCAGCCCAAAATCTCCGGTCGAAGCAGCCCAAAATCTCCGGTCGAAGCAGCCCAAAATCTCCGGTCGAAGCAGCCCAAAATCTCCGGTCGAAGCAGCCCAAAATCTCCGGTCGAAGCAGCCCAAAATCTCTGGTCGAAGCAGCCCAAAATCTGGTCGAAGCAGCCCAAAATCTCCGGTCGAAGCAGCCCAAAATCTCCGGTCGAAGCAGCCCAAAATCTCAGGTCGAAGCAGCCCTAAAATCTCAGGTCGAAGCAGCCCTAAATCTCAGGTCGAAGCAGCCCTAAAAGGTCGAAGCAGCCCTAAATCTCCGGTCGAAGCAGCCCAAATCTCCGGTCGAAGCAGCCCAAAATCTCTGGTCGAAGCAGCCCAAAATCTCCGGTCGAAGCAGCCCTAAATCTCCGGTCGAAGCAGCCCAAAATCTCTGGTCGAAGCAGCCCAAAATCTCTGGTCGAAGCAATCTCCGGTCGAAGCAGCCCAAAATCTCCGGTCGAAGCAGCCCAAAATCTCATCGAAGCAGCCCAAAATCTCAGGTCGAAGCAGCCCTAAATCTCAGGTCGAAGCAGCCCTAAATCTCAGGTCGAAGCAGCCCTAAATCTCAGGTCGAAGCAGCCCTAAATCTCAGGTCGAAGCAGCCCTAAATCTCAGGCTGATGAAGGTCTGATTTGGGGCCTGTCCAGTCAGCCGAAACTAGTTTGCGTTTTAATCTTCTAGTGGAGTTGAGTTCGGAGCTTCGAATTCTCGGTTTTTAACAGGGGTATCAATTCACCCACTGTCACTCTTTTTGCTAAAGTTTCTCCTCTTCGCTGCTGCCCACCCTAACGCTTAATGGCTACAAGGTCGAAGCAGCCCTAAATCTCCGGTCGAAGCAGCCCTAAATTCCGGTCGAAGCAGCCCTAAATCTCCGGTCGAAGCAGCCCTAAATCTCCGGTCGAAGCAGCCCTAAATCTCCGGTCGAAGCAGCCCTAAATCTCCGGTCGAAGCAGCCCTAAATCTCCGGTCGAAGCAGCCCAAAATCTCCGGTCGAAGCAGCCCTAAATCTCCGGTCGAAGCAGCCCTAAATCTCCGGTCGAAGCAGCCCTAAATCTCCGGTCGAAGCAGCCCTAAATCTCCGGTCGAAGCAGCCCTAAATCTCCGGTCGAAGCAGCCCAAAATCTCCGGTCGAAGCAGCCCGAAATCTCCGGTCGAAGCAGCCCAAAATCTCCGGTCGAAGCAGCCCAAAATCTCCGGTCGAAGCAGCCCAAAATCTCCGGTCGAAGCAGCCCAAAATCTCCGGTCGAAGCAGCCCAAAATCTCCGGTCGAAGCAGCCCAAAATCTCCGGTCGAAGCAGCCCAAAATCTCCGGTCGAAGCAGCCCAAAATCTCCGGTCGAAGCAGCCCAAAATCTCCGGTCGAAGCAGCCCAAAATCTCCGGTCGAAGCAGCCCAAAATCTCCGGTCGAAGCAGCCCAAAATCTCCGGTCGAAGCAGCCCTAAATCTCCGGTCGAAGCAGCCCAAAATCTCCGGTCGAAGCAGCCCTAAATCTCCGGTCGAAGCAGCCCTAAATCTCCGGTCGAAGCAGCCCTAAATCTCCGGTCGAAGCAGCCCTAAATCTCCGGTCGAAGCAGCCCTAAATCTCCGGTCGAAGCAGCCCAAAATCTCCGGTCGAAGCAGCCCAAAATCTCCGGTCGAAGCAGCCCTAAATCTCCGGTCGAAGCAGCCCTAAATCTCCGGTCGAAGCAGCCCTAAATCTCCGGTCGAAGCAGCCCTAAATCTCCGGTCGAAGCAGCCCTAAATCTCCGGTCGAAGCAGCCCAAAATCTCCGGTCGAAGCAGCCCTAAATCTCCGGTCGAAGCAGCCCAAAATCTCCGGTCGAAGCAGCCCTAAATCTCCGGTCGAAGCAGCCCGAAATCTCCGGTCGAAGCAGCCCAAAATCTCCGGTCGAAGCAGCCCAAAATCTCCGGTCGAAGCAGCCCAAAATCTCCGGTCGAAGCAGCCCAAAATCTCTGGTCGAAGCAGCCCAAAATCTCCGGTCGAAGCAGCCCTAAATCTCCGGTCGAAGCAGCCCAAAATCTCCGGTCGAAGCAGCCCAAAATCTCGGTCGAAGCAGCCCAAAATCTGGTCGAAGCAGCCCAAAATCTCCGGTCGAAGCAGCCCAAAATCTCCGGTCGAAGCAGCCCAAAATCTCGGTCGAAGCAGCCCAAAATCTCCGGTCGAAGCAGCCCAAAATCTCCGGTCGAAGCAGCCCAAAATCTCCGGTCGAAGCAGCCCAAAATCTCCGGTCGAAGCAGCCCAAAATCTCCGGTCGAAGCAGCCCAAAATCTCCGGTCGAAGCAGCCCAAAATCTCCGGTCGAAGCAGCCCAAAATCTCCGGTCGAAGCAGCCCAAAATCTCCGGTCGAAGCAGCCCAAAATCTCCGGTCGAAGCAGCCCAAAATCTCCGGTCGAAGCAGCCCAAAATCTCCGGTCGAAGCAGCCCAAAATCTCCGGTCGAAGCAGCCCAAAATCTCCGGTCGAAGCAGCCCAAAATCTCCGGTCGAAGCAGCCCAAAATCTCCGGTCGAAGCAGCCCAAAATCTCCGGTCGAAGCAGCCCAAAATCTCCGGTCGAAGCAGCCCAAAATCTCCGGTCGAAGCAGCCCAAAATCTCCGGTCGAAGCAGCCCAAAATCTCCGGTCGAAGCAGCCCAAAATCTCCGGTCGAAGCAGCCCAAAATCTCCGGTCGAAGCAGCCCAAAATCTCCGGTCGAAGCAGCCCAAAATCTCTCCGGTCGAAGCAGCCCAAAATCTCCGGTCGAAGCAGCCCAAAATCTCCGGTCGAAGCAGCCCAAAATCTCCGGTCGAAGCAGCCCAAAATCTCCGGTCGAAGCAGCCCAAAATCTCCGGTCGAAGCAGCCCAAAATCTCCGGTCGAAGCAGCCCAAAATCTCCGGTCGAAGCAGCCCAAAATCTCCGGTCGAAGCAGCCCAAAATCTCCGGTCGAAGCAGCCCAAAATCTCCGGTCGAAGCAGCCCTAAATCTCCGGTCGAAGCAGCCCAAAATCTCCGGTCGAAGCAGCCCAAAATCTCCGGTCGAAGCAGCCCAAAATCTCCGGTCGAAGCAGCCCAAAATCTCCGGTCGAAGCAGCCCAAAATCTCCGGTCGAAGCAGCCCAAAATCTCCGGTCGAAGCAGCCCAAAATCTCCGGTCGAAGCAGCCCAAAATCTCCGGTCGAAGCAGCCCAAAATCTCCGGTCGAAGCAGCCCAAAATCTCCGGTCGAAGCAGCCCAAAATCTCCGGTCGAAGCAGCCCAAAATCTCCGGTCGAAGCAGCCCAAAATCTCCGGTCGAAGCAGCCCAAAATCTCCGGTCGAAGCAGCCCAAAATCTCCGGTCGAAGCAGCCCAAAATCTCCGGTCGAAGCAGCCCAAAATCTCCGGTCGAAGCAGCCCAAAATCTCCGGTCGAAGCAGCCCAAAATCTGGTCGAAGCAGCCCAAAATCTCCGGTCGAAGCAGCCCAAAATCTCGGTCGAAGCAGCCCAAAATCTCCGGTCGAAGCAGCCCAAAATCTCCGGTCGAAGCAGCCCAAAATCTCCGGTCGAAGCAGCCCAAAATCTCCGGTCGAAGCAGCCCAAAATCTCCGGTCGAAGCAGCCCAAAATCTCCGGTCGAAGCAGCCCAAAATCTCCGGTCGAAGCAGCCCAAAATCTCCGGTCGAAGCAGCCCAAAATCTCCGGTCGAAGCAGCCCAAAATCTCCGGTCGAAGCAGCCCAAAATCTCCGGTCGAAGCAGCCCAAAATCTCCGGTCGAAGCAGCCCAAAATCTCCGGTCGAAGCAGCCCAAAATCTCCGGTCGAAGCAGCCCAAAATCTCCGGTCGAAGCAGCCCAAAATCTCCGGTCGAAGCAGCCCAAAATCTCCGGTCGAAGCAGCCCAAAATCTCCGGTCGAAGCAGCCCAAAATCTCCGGTCGAAGCAGCCCAAAATCTCCGGTCGAAGCAGCCCAAAATCTCCGGTCGAAGCAGCCCAAAATCTCCGGTCGAAGCAGCCCAAAATCTCCGGTCGAAGCAGCCCAAAATCTCCGGTCGAAGCAGCCCAAAATCTCCGGTCGAAGCAGCCCAAAATCTCCGGTCGAAGCAGCCCAAAATCTCCGGTCGAAGCAGCCCAAAATCTCCGGTCGAAGCAGCCCAAAATCTCCGGTCGAAGCAGCCCAAAATCTCCGGTCGAAGCAGCCCAAAATCTCCGGTCGAAGCAGCCCAAAATCTCCGGTCGAAGCAGCCCAAAATCTCCGGTCGAAGCAGCCCAAAATCTCCGGTCGAAGCAGCCCAAAATCTCCGGTCGAAGCAGCCCAAAATCTCCGGTCGAAGCAGCCCGAAATCTCAGGGCTGCACCTACTCAACTGCCAGAGCATCTGGGAGTGCGTGGGTGGGGGGAGGTGTCTGTCTCTCCCATCCCCCTTCTCTCCCATTCATCCCCCTTCTCTCCCTCTCTCTCACTCCCTTTTCCCTCCCAAGTGGTCCCTTCTCCCTCCCTCTCTCCCTCCCTCCCCTTCCTTCCCCTCCCCTCCCGCTTCCCCCCTTTTCAGCGGCCTGCTGGGCGCTGTTGCCGGTGGCAGCGATCGAGTCAGCCTATGCGATAGCGTACGGGTCGAACCAGCCCAACATATCGGGGCAGCACATACTCAACTGCCAGGGCACGTGGGAGTGTGGGCGGCATCCCGTCAGACGCCTTCCAGTTTGCTGCCTCCGGGGGAGTGCTCTCGGATTACATGGTGCCCTACACCGGTGTTAAGGATGCTACTAACTGTGGGGTGAGTCCGAAGACGGGGGTTCAGTCATTGGGGAAGGAGGGATCATTGCTGGATCATTGGGGCCAGCACACATACTCAACTGCCAGGGCACGCGGGAGTGCGTGGGCAGCAACCACTCAGACGCCTTCCAGTTTGCAGCCACCGGGGGAGTGCTCTCGGATTGAATGGTGCCCTATACTTGCGTGCGCGACTGCTTTTGAGGCGCCTCAAAAGCAGTGCTCTCGGATTACATGGTGCCCTATACTTGCGTGCGCGACACTACCAACTGTGGGGTGAGTGGGTGAAGGGCGAGTTAGGTTTTTGAGAATTCTCGGATTACATGGTGCCCTATACTTGCGTGCGTGACGTTACGAACTGTGGGGTGAGTGAGTAAAGGGCGGTCAGTGGTCGTCAGTGTTTGCTCCCTCAGTGGGAAGGCGTTCTTATTTTTGAGAATTCTCAAAAACAAAACACGTCAATGGTCAGTGTTTGCTCCCTTAGTGGGAAGGCGTTCTTAGCGCACCTGGGATTGCGTGGGCGGCATAACCTCAGGCGCTTTCTTATTTGCCACTTGGGGAGTGCTCTCGGAATACATGGTGCCACACACTTTTTGAGGCGCCTCAAAAATCGTCTCAACTCACTTGGGGAGTGCTCTCGGAATACATGGTGCCACACACTGGCGAGCGCGATGCTACCAACTGCGGGGTGAGTGGAGATTGGGGGTCAAGGTTGGGGTTGGGCTCAGGGCCTCCAGTTTCCAGCCACGGGAGGAGTGCTCTTGGATTACATGGTGCCATACACTGGCGTGCGTGTGTGGATCTGAATCTTTCAGAATTCTTCCCGCCCGATATATGGTTCTTGAGAAGTCTCAAAGATCCCATCAAACGATGGGGAATACCCATGCCTCTTTCGTTTCCCTCCCCCCTTTGTTCTGCGCGTGCTTCTAAACTCTTTCTCGAATGGTCCTCTTTCTCTTTCTCTTTCTCTTTCTCTTTCTCACTTTATTTTTCTTCTCCCAGCCTGCTGCAAGGCGCCGCCTCTCAGCGTCCTTCCCACCAGACCTCTGGTTCGACCGGGCGCTAGGGGATCACCATGCATCTGTTTTGCCACTCCACTCTTGGTCTGTGCTCTTGTTTCCACTCTTCTCCCCCCAGCCTGCTGCAAGGCGGCGCCTTGCAGCGTCCTTCCCACCGGACCTCTGGTTCGACCGGGCACTAGAAGATCACCGTGCCTCCACACAAGGCTCCTCGCTGCAACAACAGTCACCATCAGGAGGCCTCGCCTCTTCTGCTAGACGCCACGCCTCCAACTTCGCCCCGTCTCCTCCTGCCCTCCTTGCTCCTCCTGCCTCTCCTGCCGATTCCTTTACTCCTCCTCATCCCCCCTCCTCCGTACACTGCTCCCAGCCGTCTCTCGGAACTGAGCTTCAAAGGCCATCCCCCTGAATCGCCGCTGCACTCCCCTCCTCCTCTCCCTCCTCCTCCATCCGTCTTCTCCAACCTGCTCTCCTCCCTCTTCCAAATCCCTCGCGCCCGCATCCTCCAATCATCATCATTGTCTTCCTCCTCCTCCTCCTCCTCCTTCTCCTCCTCCTTACTTCCCTCCTCTGCCTCCTCCTTCCGCTCATTCTCCTCCTCCTCTCGACCGTCCTCCATGGGCAAAATCAAACCCCTAAAGAAGAAGACCAAGAAGAAGCCCCCCCTGCACCTGCCGCTGAGCCGCTCCCGGGCCCGTACACAATCGCCATGTTTGAGCAGGTGTCGGTGTCTGGTTGGCTGGGCATGGTGCTGGCGCTGCAGGCGCAGCCAATCATCGCCAACGTGGAGGCAGATCAGACGTCCTTCATGGATTACGCTGGGGTGAGTGCGAGGGGGGGGGGGAGTGGAGGGGGGGGGGGGGTGGGGGTGGTAGATGTGGATAGGATTGGGTTGAGAGAATGCAGGCTCAGCCAATCATCGCCAACGTGGAGGCGGATCAGCCGTCCTTCATGGATTACGCTGGGGTGAGTGTGAGGAGGGTGGGGGAGTGGGAAGGGGGGGGGGTGGGGGTTGATGTTGATAGGAATGGGCTGGAGAAAGCAGGCGCAGCCAATGAAAGCCCATGTGGAGGCAGGCGGATCAGACGTCCTCATGGAATATGCTGGGGTGAGTGAGAAGAGGGGGGAAGGAGAAGGGAGGGGGGAAGGAGAAGGGAGGGGGGGGGGATGAGGATCGGGGTTTGTAGATGTGGATAGGATTGGGTTGAGAGAATGCAGGCACAGCCAATCGACTCATTACTCACAGCAAATCATCGCTAACGTGGAGGCGGATCAGACGTCCTTCATGGAATATGCTGGGGTGAGTTGGAGAGGGAGGGGGGAGTATACAGTACAGGGGTTGTTGGAAGGGGTGTGATGCAGGGCGGTGTTGGGAGGGGTGTGATGCTGGGCGGTGTTGGGAGGGGTGTGATGCAGGGCGGTGTTGGGAGGGGTGTGATGCAGGGCGGTGTTGGGAGGGGTGTGATGCAGGGCGGTGTTGGGAGGGGTGTGATGCTGGGCGGTGTTGGGAGGGGTGTGATGCAGGGCGGTGTTGGGAGGGGTGTGATGCTGGGCGGTGTTGGGAGGGGTGTGATGCAGGGCGGTGTTGGGAGGGGTGTGATGCAGGGCGGTGTTGGGAGGGGTGTGATGCTGGGCGGTGTTGGGAGGGGTGTGATGCTGGGCGGTGTTGGGAGGGGTGTGATGCAGGGCGGTGTTGGGAGGGGTGTGATGCTGGGCGGTGTTGGGAGGGGTGTGATGCAGGGCGGTGTTGGGAGGGGTGTGATGCAGGGCGGTGTTGGGAGGGGTGTGATGCAGGGCGGTGTTGGGAGGGGTGTGATGCAGGGCGGTGTTGGGAGGGGTGTGATGCTGGGCGGTGTTGGGAGGGGTGTGATGCAGGGCGGTGTTGGGAGGGGTGTGATGCAGGGCGGTGTTGGGAGGGGTGTGATGCAGGGCGGTGTTGGGAGGGGTGTGATGCTGGGCGGTGTTGGGAGGGGTGTGATGCAGGGCGGTGTTGGGAGGGGTGTGATGCTGGGCGGTGTTGGGAGGGGTGTGATGCAGGGCGGTGTTGGGAGGGGTGTGATGCAGGGCGGTGTTGGAGGGGTGTGATGCAGGGCGGTGTTGGGAGGGGTGTGATGCTGGGCGGTGTTGGGAGGGGTGTGATGCAGGGCGGTGTTGGGAGGGGTGTGATGCAGGGCGGTGTTGGGAGGGGTGTGATGCAGGGGGGTTGTTGGAAGGAAGGTACAAAGATGGCGGGGGAGAGTATACGGGGAATGGGAAGATTTTTGAGGCGCCTCAAAAATCGTATACGGGGAATGGGAACATGCCTATGCTCCCCATTCCCCACTCCGCTTCCCCCACTCCCTCCCGACACCACATTCCCCCGTTCCCCACATTCCAGGGCCACATCCACGCTGACACGCTGACACGCTGACAAACTGCTTTGAGGCGCCTCAAAACTGTTCCCCACTTTCCACTTTTGAGTCGACTCAAAAGCAGACTGTTCCTCACATTCCAGGGCCACATGCATGCTGACATGCTGACCCCAACTGCGTTATCAACGCGGTGGTGAACCGTGAACCACATAGTGCTGAGAGAAACGTAATTGATAGATTGAGAGGGGGATGATACAAGACTTTGTACCTAGGTCAATCCTAGGTCAAGGAGGGGTTGTCCGTCCCCACCATTATTGGGTGGACCAATAATGGTTGGGAAGGTCGACCACGAATCATTGGAGGGCCAGCAATATTGGGTTGGCCAACACTGCTGGAGCTCTCGAGAATGGGGGTCAAGGGTTGGTTGACCTAACCAACCTCAACCTTCATCTACAATACAATATTAACACACTACATGCTATAGATATACGATATAATCTAACAAGGGCTGTTTTTGGGGTACAGCATGGTGGGAGCCACGCGCTACTGAACCTGCCACTACTCCTGTCTTCCCCTCTCCAGGGGTACATCTATGCGGATCCCGACTGCTTCATCAATGGGGTGGTGAACCACATCGTGCTGCTGGTGGGGTACAGCATGGTGGGAGCCACGCCGTACTTCATCCTGCAAAACTCCTGGGGATCCACCTGGGGACAAAACGGCTTCATGCAGATGGCCATCCAATCAGGTGCCTCCTCTACCTCACTATTCATGCTGTTGGTGACAACCAAAAAAAAAAAAAAAACTCTGGCAGCACGTGGAATGCTGTTGCCTGGGCCTTGAACTCAACCGCTTTCCTCTCAAGTGCCTCGCACTCAACCGCTCCCCCCGCCTGTACCTCCCTTCCTGTGCAGGAGATGGCATCTTTGCCGGCCCTTTTCCCTGTCGCCTGCGACCCCAACCTGGGTGTGCCGAATCCGCAACGAACACACGACGACCTAACACTTTTCCTTATCCTCCCCCCCGCTCCCCCCCCACTCCTTCAGGAGATGGCATCTGCGACATCAACTCCTCGCCTGCGCTCTACCCTGTTGTCCGCGGGCCCAACCCGTGTGGGCCGAACCCATATTCAGCATATGGAGCATATTCCCACTTTCCCTTATCCCCCCCTCACAGGAGATGGCATCTGTGGTGTCAATACCTCGCCTGCGCTCTACCCTGTTGTCCGCGGGCCCAACCCGTGTGTGCCGAACCCGTGTGGGGGGGCACGTGCAGCCCTGGCCGGGGCCGGGGGGCTATACATGCAAGTGCAAGACGTACTTTGTAGTGGGGAAGAACGTGGACCAGTCTCCTGTGTGCATCCCATGTATGTATGTATGGGGGCTTGGCGTGTGGTGGGGGAGGGGGGGGGGAGAGAGAGGGGGAGGAACGTGCATAGCGCCAAGGGGTGTCAGGGGGCTACACGTGCAAGTGCAAGGCGTACTTTGTAGTGGGGAAGAACGTGGACCAGTCTCCTGTGTGCATTCTATGTACATATGGGGGCATGTGTAGGGTCATGGTGTCGGCTGGATAGGGGAGGGACGTGCATTGCGCCAGGGGGGCCAGGGACGTGCAGGCGTGCAGGCGTGCAGGCGTGCAGGCGTGCAGGCGTGCAGACGTGCAGGCGTGCAGACGTGCAGGCGTGCAGGCGTGCAGGCGTGCAGGCGTGCAGGCGTGCAGGCGTGCAGACGTGCAGGCGTGCAGACGTGCAGGCGTGCAGACGTGCAGGCGTGCAGACGTGCAGGCGTGCAGACGTGCAGGCGTGCAGGCGTGCAGACGTGCAGGCGTGCAGACGTGCAGGCGTGCAGGCGTGCAGGCGTGCAGGCGTGCAGACGTGCAGGCGTGCAGGCGTGCAGGCGTGCAGGCGTGCAGGCGTGCAGGCGTGCAGGCGTGCAGGCGTGCAGGCGTGCAGACGTGCAGGCGTGCAGACGTGCAGGCGTGCAGACGTGCAGGCGTGCAGACGTGCAGACGTACTCGGTTGTAATGAAAACAGGGAAGCATTGACTAGTTGCATCTGTGCACTCCAAGTATGTATGAGTGCATACTGTAAGTGCATACTGTAAGTGCATACTGTAAGTGCATACTGTAAGTGCGCACTGTAAATGCATACTGTAAGTGCGTACTGTAAGTGCATACTGTAAGTGCATACTGTAAGTGCATACTGAAAGTGCATACTGTAAGTGCATACTGTAAGTGCATACTGTAAGTGCATACTGTAAGTGCATACTGGAAGTGCATACTGTAAGTGCATACTGAAAGTGCATACTGAAAGTGCATACTGTAAGTGCATACTGTAAGTGCATACTGTAAGTGCATACTGTAATTGCATACTGTAAGTGCATACTGTAAGTGCATACTGTAAGTGCATACTGTAAGTGCATACTGAAAGTGCATACTGTAAGTGCATACTGTAAGTGCATACTGTAAGTGCGTACTGTAAGTGCGCACTGTAAGTGCATACTGTAAGTGCATACTGTAAGTGCATACTGTAAGTGCATACTGTAATTGCATACTGTAAGTGCATACTGAAAGTGCATACTGTAAGTGCATACTGTAAGTGCATACTGTAAGTGCGCACTGTAAATGCATACTGTAAGTGCGTACTGTAAGTGCGTACTGTAAGTGCGTACTGTAAGTGCGTACTGTAAGTGCGTACTCTGTAAGTGCATGTCTGAGCTGTGAAGCCATGCTCCCCTCCCCTTTCTCCCAGCCCGCTTCTCCTCCCACCTGTTGTGAGCAGAACCTGCCGTAAGCCCCGTCAGGTGGTGACGCGAACCCCTGCATAGTTTAGAGGCACCTCAAAACTAGATTCTGAGCCTCTAAACCTGCAGTAAGCCCTGCGCCCCTGCGGGTTCATGTCAGGTGGGGTGGTGACAATTTTTGAGGCGCCTCAAAAAGCGAACCCCTGCGTCTGCACTAACCACCCGCCCGTCCTCCCTCCTTTCATCCTTCCCTTTCTTGCTGTCTCACGACCTCCCCTCCTCCCCCCATTTCTCCCCTCTGTCGAAACAGTGAAGCCATGCTCTCTAAACGCGGTGAACCCCTGTCAGGTGGGCACCTGCCTGGACGACAGCAAGGGCAGCTACAACTGCATCTGTCCACCGGGGTTCTTCGACAAGCGCGCCGGACAACACCCCCTCCTGCATCCTCGGTATGTGCCCCTCCCCAGTGTTCTAGGTGTGTACCCTTCACCCTGTAACCCCCGTACAGCCTGTCATATCTGCCCGCCGGGGTTCTTCTTTGATAAGCGCCGGACAACACCCCCTCCTGTATCCTAGGTATGTGCTCTTTACCAGTCAACCCGGGTACAGTCCTAGTGTACGTTCACCTGCTGCCCCTTGTTGCCTGCCCGCCGGGCTTCTTTTTCGGCACTCGCCCCGACAACTCCCCCTCATGCATCCTCAGTATGTACCCTTCACTTGATACCCTCTCTAGTATTCTAGGTGTGCACCTCCCTCCAGCGTGCTAGGTGTGCGCCTCCCTCAAGTGTGCTAGGTGTGCACCCCCCCAGTGTGCTAGGTGAGTTTCCTTCGCCTGGCAACCCTGGTATGGCCCTACTGTGCTATTGTGGTGGTGCTGCCACCTGGTATCGCTCGCTGGTGGCTGCAGCTGCATCTGCCCACCAGGGCTCTGCATCTCTTTTTCACCAAGTTATTGTGCGGATTATGGGGGTTCTGCCTACCACCTGCTATCATCTACCCCTCCGTTCCTCCCTGCTCGTCCCTGTTCTGCCGACGTGCAGGCCCACCACACCCGATAAGATAAATGTAGTTGCAGGGCTCACATTCAACCTCGTGATGGCGACCTATGGGATCAGCCACCTCCCACTCCCTGCCATATCATCAACCCCCTCCGTTCCTCCCTGCGCCTCCCTGCTCCGCCCTGCTCGTCCCTGTTCCACCCACGTGCAGGCCCCACACTCGATAAGATAAACGGAGGTTGCAGGACTCGCATGCAACCTCGTGATGGCCATCTAGGGAGCATTCATTCACCCCTCATTTCCCTCCCTCACCCACCCCTCCCCTCCGTTCCTCCCGTCCCTCCCTGTTCCACCCACTTGCAGGCCCCACACCAGACGAGATAAGAGTGTTTCCGGGCTCACATGCAACCTTGTGATGTCGACCTACGGGATCAGCTTGGCAAATTTCACCCTACTCAATCATGTGAGTGCGTCTTAACCATGCGAGTGCATCTTAACCATGTGAGTGCATCTCAACCATGTGAGTGCATCTCAACCATGTGAGTGCATCGCAACCATGTGAGTGCATCTCAACCATGTGAGTGCATCTCAATCCCAAGCTTTTTGCATACCATATGACAGGCGTCTGATTGCCATAAGATAGGGCAGAAGTTGGCAGTAGGCTGTGCTTTCGAGGCTCGCATTTTGAGGCACCTAAAGAATAGACTCCTTTCGAAGCTCGCATTCGACCTTGTGATGTCAACCTATGGCATCAGCTAGGCCAGTGTAACCTAACTCAACCCAGTGAGTATTGGCTGCTGGTGCTGCTTGCCAGTGCTGGCTTTTTCTCGACTTCCCCTTCCCTCCCCCCCCCCCCCCCCCAAATCAGGATCTCAACTGCGCCAGGCTGAGGCCTGGCGACGAGATCCACATCGGTGGCACCAACACCAGCACCAGCACCAGCACCAGCACCAGCACCAGCTGCCAACCCCCCTTTCTCCATCCTTTTCACTTTCCCCCTCCCCCGCCGCCAATCAGGATCGCAACCGCGCCCGGCTGCATTCGAGGCGCCTCAAAAATAGATGATTTTTTAGGCACCTGGCTGCATTTGAGGCGCCTCAAAAATAGACCCCTCCCCTGCTGCCAATCAGGATCGCAACCGCCCGGCTGTAGCCTGGCAATGAGACCCACATCGGTGGCACCAATCCCTGCACTACCCCTCATGGTCCCCCAACCAACCAACCCCTATTCCCCCATCCCCCCCCCCCCCCCCACCCCCCAACACACCCACCCCCTTCCCTCCCCCCAAATCAAAAGCTCAGCTGCGCCAGGCTGAGGCTTGGCGATGGCAGCCACATCCGGTGGCACCAACCCCTGCGCCACCCCTCATGGTCCCCCAACCAACCCTCCTCCCCCATTCCCCCCCCTCGGCTTTTGAGTCGACTCAAAACCGCCACCCCTCATGGTCCCCCCAAACAACCACTCTTCCCCCCCCATCCCCCCCCTCCCCGCTTCCCCCTCAGGAGCTCAGCTGCGCCAGGCTGAGGCTAGGCGACGAGATCCACATGGGGGACACCAACCCCTGCGCCACCCTCAATGCTCCCAACCAACCCCCCTTCCCCATCCTCTCCCCCCTTCCCCCCCACCCCCTTTTCGCCGGGCCCCCAAATCAGGATCTCAACTGCGCCAGGCTAAGGCTAGGCGACGATATCCACATCGGCGATACCAACCCCTGCGCCACCCCCTATACCATCACATATGTGAGCTCCTCTCTCTTGAAGTCTCCAACCCCCTTCACCACCCACCCCCTCAACCCCATCCCAACCCCCCCTTCACCCCTTCCCTCCCCTTCCCCTCCTTCCCGTCCCGCCACGCGACTGGCCTTTTTCAAATTTCCTGTAGCATTTCTCATAGGATATCCTCTACTCATTCAAATCGATGACTCAATTCATAGCGAGTCATTCCATAACGAGTCATTCCATCCATCCTCACCTTTGCAGTCACATCAGGGAGTCGCTTCCGTCATCCGCTTTCATTTTATCCTTATCAACTCTCCCGTTCGCTCTCTCTCCCAATTCACATGGCCCTAATTCTCCCTGTCTCCCTAATCTCCCCTGTGGCAGAGCGAGACGTGTGCGGCGGTGGCAGCGGACTTTGCTTTTGAGTCGACTCAAAAGCAAGCCCGTATTCTTCCTTTTCTCCCTACACTCTCCCGTGGCAGAGCGAGACGTGTGCGGCGGTGGCAGCAGAGTTCAACATCACAGTGGAGCAGCTCAAGGCGGAGAACCACGAGCTCAAATGCAACAAGCCGCTGCAGATCGGCCAGCAGGTAAGGGCTAGGAGTGGCAGCAGGTAAGGGCTGGGTGTGGCAGCAGGTAAGGGCTGGGTGTGGCAGCAGGTAAGGGTTGGGTGTGGCAGCAGGTAAGGGCTAGGTGTGGCAGCAGGTAAGGGCTAGGTGTGGCAGCAGGTAAGGGCTAGGTGTGGCAGCAGGTAAGGGCTAGCTGTGACAGCAGGTAAAGGTTGGGTGCAGTAGCAGGTGTGGCGTTAGCTCAAGGTCTGGAGCAGCAGATAGGTCAGAGAATTCACGACCTCTTTCCTTCTCCAGAACTGCTTTGTCTGGCCCCTTTCCCATCCCCATCCCTGAGACACTAACAGGTGTGCATCGAGAGGGGGACAGCAGACTTGCCGATGTGCCAGGAGTATGTGACTGTAGCGGAAGGTGACACGTGCGACACTATAATGAGGTCCGCGCGGCCGCCTCTGACCAGCCAGGAGTTCTATGCTTTGAATCCAGGCATCAACTGCAACGTGGGCGAGCAGACGCTGCTGGGCCAGCAGGTATGTGAACAGTTGTCATCATTATGTAGGTATGTGAACAGTAATCATTAGGTAGGTGTGCAGATGTGGGAGTCATTCAACTTGAACCTTACATGCTTGTGTTACTCCAGTGGTTTAGGGAGTGCTGAATGCTTGCACTCTCCTTGTTCTTTCTTTCCCACCGCACCAGCTGCATACATGGCGTTTATGTTTTTACATATTTATTCCTCATTTTTCACCCTCCAGATTTGTACGCGTGGTGGCCAATCGAGTGTTTTACTTGGTGCTTCAAGATGTGTTACAAAGCAGACGTATACAGTTGTCACTGGCGATACATGTGCGCGCATCCTTGCACTCTATTTCAAGTCTTCAGCACGCCTGCTAGCACAATATAACAGTGGGTATGTTTGCACAAATAGTCGATTGTACAAAGGGACGGTGCTCTGCAAGGCACCCTAAAACTGGGTTTTGTGTTTTGTAATAGTGTATGTGTGCGTTTGTAGCTATCTGGCTACAGTGGGTTGCTCCCATTTTCATGTATTTGTACTTAGTATGCTTGCTTTTGTTTTCAAACGTTGTCTCATTGTTGAGATGTATAATAACCAATTCAACAAGCACAATTCTGCAAGTTGCTTATGTGTGCACCAATAACCCTTTGTACAACGTGTGGCATTGGAATGTTCACATCATCTCACCAACTCTCTCCATTTCAGAAACGACTGCGTGTACACTTAGCCCGCGTTAATTTTACACCCTGACCATTTCTGAGTGCGTAGACAAGTACCCCCTTGTTCCTACGGCCTAAGCTTGGCAGACTCCACGCGGGAAAAAACGTTTAGCACTGCCTAAGCTGACGTCGGGTTTCCTGACTCGAGAAACACTAAATCGAGCAGTAAAGTTTTTTGTGCAGAAACCCAAGTTTAGGGTTGTTTTCAAGGGTATCGGGATCTGGTCTTCAGGAGCGGCTTTCGGGAGGTGAATACCCTCTCAGCGGCACCCCCTGTGAAAATACTGGGTTTGAAAATAACGCGGGCTAAGTGTACAGTGTTATGGCAACCCTTCGTGTAGCCACGGGCCGCCAAAACGATTTCGAATTGCCTCGTAAACGTCGTCGCACTCGTCGTCAGCGAAAAGTGACTTCGCGAACGCTGTTCGCGGACGTCCCTCACTACGCCGCCCGTCGTCCGCTCACTCATCCAAAACGTCAATTGTTATCCTTTTCGTTTGGTTTCCACGTAGCTTACCCATGAATCTTGGAGCCGGGTGCCCAAGGACGTTCTTTTAACGAATAACCACGTGCCACCTACGCCATCTAGGCTTTTGATGCGGCAGCGAGCCTGACAAGGAATTGGAGATATTCTGTGCTATGGTTGGTGGTCCCGCCTTTCTGCGCGGGGAAAAAGCGGCTGTCCAGATATTTCAACTTGCCCACACCATCCAGATTCCAGATTCCAGAGAAATTCACAGCACACCTTTCGTCAGAAATTTCCCTCCGCACTGGAGACAGCCTAGGGATCTCCTGCCTCTTAGAATCTTCAGGGAACCCCATTTCCACTTGCCTCTTCGAGTTTCTAGGGAACTCCGTTCTGCTGCTGCTAATTTTGCTGCTGGAGCTTTTTCGAGCGACGGCAGATTCTGGGTGCAACTTGGCCGGCAGATTCTAAAGCTGGGGCAGCTGTTGCGTTCCTCTGCTCTCTCGTCGTGCTTGAGATTGTTCGGACGAACATAGTGCTCGCTTGTCCATTCCTGGCAATTTTCTCGTGCCACGTCTGACAGATACTGCTGAAATGGCCGGTGAGTTTCCTCTTCCTGTTTCTTGGGAGAAACGGAACAGAGTACTGATTATAGTTACACGAGACGAGGTTCTGCTGGCGAGGAATGATAAACTGTTGAGTCCTAATCAGCCGCGTGCTCCCGCGTCCGTCCTTATTCTCCTCTCCTTATCCTGCAGCGATGTTGGGTTCCACCCTTTGCTGCTGCTCTGGTTGGGTGCTGCACCTGCGTTCGGTTCCCCTCTGTTCTCAGGCGCCTCAAAACCCCTTATGGTTTTGCCTTTGTCCTGCAGCGATGCTGGGTTCCACCCTGTGCTGCAGCAAACAAGCCGTGAGGGTTTTCCCGAGCTTGAAGCCCGCGTTATCTGGAAATTCCGTACAAGCTCTTCCCTCTCGTTACAGTCACAAACCTCGCCAGCTGTCAAGCTGCACCAATCGCAGCCGGCGGCGGGTGGTTCTGGTGGAGGCATCATCCCCCAATCCGTCCCAGATCTCGTTTGGTCAGTCCCGGACGGCCCGGACGGGTCGTCTCCCGGAATCCTTATCCGTCTCCCGGCTGCTTCGTCCCTCAGTCTTCTTGCTCCTTCCCTTCTGGTCTCCCTCGTTTTCCTCGTCTGCTTCTGAATCTGCGGCATGGTTTGCTTGCGTGTGATGCTTTCATCGTGTTGTGGCAGCAACAGCCGTGGAGAGCCAGCCGACCCTCTTCCAGGCGATCGACTTCAAGAAGCTCCAGAACGGAAGGTACGATGGGCGGTCGTGCCAGGAAGGGTGGGGAATGGGAGAGGGGGAGATAGACGAACTCACTCCAGACGATTGACTTGAAGAAGCTTCAGAACGGAAGACGAGACCATTGCGCGCACGGGGAAAGGGAGAACCGGGTGAGGGGAAGACATATCACGGATAGAAACTGGGATTGCAAAATCAAAAAATCAGGAATCAGGAAATCTGGATGGATTACTGGTTAGCCATTGTTCTGTAAAGTGTTTCCCTTGTGTTCTGTACGCAGTGACATAAGGGG